AATTTAAGACGAGGGGTATATGAACCCCCCCCCCCCCCGCCCCTTCCTTAGAGGGCCTCGGTAGTGACGGACACCTGCCAAATAATCTAACAAAATTATGAACCAGACACTTCCCGTTGCAAAATTGTTTTTTGTAATTTGAAAAATTGTTGTTTCTGAAAGGAGCTAAGAAGAATCAGGCATCACAAGCAAACAAACTTAAGCGAGAGGAAAGACTGGGTGAGATTGATGACCTTTTACAAAACAACAAGATATTGCAGGAGCAGATAATGCAAAAGCTAGAAGAAGCACGGGCACTAAATGCCACAAATGAGGTAAGGCAAATGTTACCAACCCAATCTTTTTATATGTAATGTTACATGTACGTCTTTTAATAAAAATGTGAATTATCTAAGCGGACCAAAATATTTTGTATGTAACACATTGCAAAGTACAACTGGAACAGTTCTCTGAAATTTTCTTCCAAAATAAACTTAAATACCTGATGCACATGCATTGTGATTAAACTGGAGACAAGGTCCAAATGGAAAAGCTGACAACCTGTACTTCTATCTTGCATTTGCCAAGTGTCTAAGACCTCTTTCTGCATGCTTATGGCTGGAAGATGTATGCAGAGTTGAGAACCTGCAGATTTGTAGTTTTTTGTTAATTAAATAGTAGTTATTTAGAGCTGTGTCAAGAAAGTGAACATTATTTACAATGCATGATCATTCCTCATCCTTAAGGTAAATGCACTGCAAGCTGATCTGAACAAACTTCAGGGTCAGCAAGTCTCTCTGCAGTTAGAGCACAAGGAACTCAAGAAGAAGCAGCGTCGCTCAGAAAGATATTACACTAACAAACAAACAAAGGATGGTGGCTCACAGAATGACAGTGTGCAAGGTGATGATGTAGAAATGGTTGGAGATGTGTCACTGCAAGATGATCTTACTCAAGAAGATGATCGATCAGAGGAAGGTTGGTTTACAAAGATCTCAGAAATTGTTAATTTTAAAGTTCCTTATATAATTATGCTTACAGGATTTTATGAATGGCATCTTTACAAGATGTTGGTTACTGTAGAAAAAGTTTACTTCACAGGATTTTGACTACAGTCTTCAGGCCAAACGTCAAACTTTTCATGAGACGAACTAAACTCTAACATGGGTCAACCTAAATTAAGTTTAGATTGTCTGTTGAGACAGACATTGAGCTTAGGACGACACCGTCAAAGCGATCAACTGAATCAGGCCAAACAGCTATTTTAGCCAGCTAGTTGTAAATTTTCTCCTAAACGAGACTAAATATACGTTATCACACGCATTTTTAATTTGTTAGTTTAGTTTGTCGCATATAAAGATCGACATATGTCCCGGACACAGTCTCTAGACATTCTCTCTGTGAAGAAGCAGACGGATTGAACGTGTGGGACGATCCAAACTCATTCAGACGAACTTAACTGAGCCCGACGTCAATATTTTCATGTACATTACTCACTAAGTTTGGCTCGTCTGATGAAAAGTTTGACATTTGGCCTAGGCCTCAGTGAGTTTTTTATGCAGTTTCATTCAAGGTACATGGATCTGTTTTAGTGTTGCTTACGTCTGAGCCTTACTGTTAATTCAAAAATTTCTTATGAAACAAATAGGACTTGGTGAGGATAATGATGAAGATGTACAGGAGACCAATGGAGATCAATCAAGGACAATTTCAGTTCCAGAAGCTGTTGTTACACAGATACTGCCCCCTGCTACAGGTAAATACAGCACGTTGAACAACAGGAATCTGATGTGCATCAATGTTTTTTAAACTTTCTGTACAGTCTGTAGTACCACTGTAGATGGCTCAGCTGTAGTGGCTCCCCTGCCCAGGGCTGTCATAAGGGGCCAGGAATTTCCTCTGGCTGCTAAAAGCATGACATGCCGCTAATTTCATTAAGCAATATACCACACTTTCTATGGGTTTAAAATAACTTTAAGTTTTCTATGAGTTTACCGTCACAATAAACCATAGGTTTTTAACCAATCAAAGGCACTTACTTTCTTAGTTATTTTATAAAATGGAACATTGCACATACCAGACAATTAACATACATGTACCAGAAATCTTAGTGATAGCTCTGCCAGCTTATATTCTTCTTATGAGTTTAAAAACTAAATTTTACTAAATCACTGTTAATGATCCTTATGACCTTGGAGTTATAAATAATTATATTGTTTTCATACATGTAACTCCAGTCTTACATATGTAAGTAATATTAAAGTACTGAATTTCTGGAGTGCAATTCACAGTCTTCATCATTGTCACCACTGTGAGGACACTGCATAGAATTTATTGCTCAAGACTCATGTTTAACTTAAGCAGGCTAGTGGCCAGTGAAAGACATTTTTCAAATAATTTTTTTTTGTCTTAATGGTACATTTCCTTCCTCTATAAACTTTGAACTCCTAGAACACATTGTGGTTAGTGTATTTGTCACTTAAACTGTTAAATTTGTGCATGAAACCCAATGGCATTGCCATTCAAATAAACCCTCACTGGTAGAACTTTTGCATTGTACAATTGAACGTCTCCACAACAGCCACCTTGGGGACAGAAGAAAGTGGCCGTTGTAGAGAGGTTTAGAATAAGGGTCAATGTATAGATTCAAGAAAAGTGGCAATTGTGGAGAGGTGGCTGTAAGTGGAGGCTCAACTGTACCTCACTGTATTCTATGGAATTTACCTGAGTTTTTGAGTGAATTTACTACTTTGGCCACTACATTGTAATACATTGTAATAGTGAAAGGGTTACATCTAGGTTTTCTGAGCATAGAATGCAGCAGTAAAATTAAATTTTCTTCTACTGTACATTGTAAGATATGTATACCGGTAGATACCCTTGAATAATCAATGTTTGCTTTTTCATTGTTACTCTGTAGGTATTCCAACAACATCATCTAACACAGTCAACCTACCTCAGCGCCAGGAGCCTCTGAACTCAGAAGAGGACTCATCAGTTAGAGCATTATACACTGCGTTTATGCCTCAACACCTGCAGGTAAAAGTTATGTATGATGATAATAGTAAATAACGAGTTTGATAACTACATGTATTTTAATAATGATACTTAATGCATTATGATATTGAAAGTGTAAATTTTCAGAGCTAAAGGCTCATGTTACTGTCAAACTCAGAAAACCGTGAAAATTTCAGGAATGTTGATTGTGTACTGGCCAGTCCTAATAAAGTTCAGGACACGCGAGGAAACCCCAAAACTACAAACTAATCACTGTTGCTGTTTGCAGTTTTGTTATCACAAGCCTTATTGGCTTATTTCTCACAACACAATAACATTCCATAAATATCTCTGGTGTTGACGGCTTAGTGAGTTTCACAGTGAAAACCCCTCACAATCATACATTTATATATTTTTTCTTGTCACATGTTCTTTAAAGCACAGCCTTCATTACCCAGTTACTGTACATGTACCCTGGTACAATGTGGTGTACTAAAACAAGACAAGTTACCCTAGTTATCATTCACATGTTGTAATGCTACCCTACATTTTACTAGTCATCATATAGAACAGATACATTGCAGCAAAAGCAAGAAAAAACATCATAAAAGTGAAAAATGCAAGGGTGTCTTCTAAGAAAAATTGAAGGGAGCCCAGTGCTCTGAACCTGTACAATGTAAAAGCAAGGGTGCTCAGCATAGGATTTTTATTTTAAAAAAAAGATTTCCTGATCACCCATGATCAAAAGTAAGGCACCTGAGGCCACCATGTGTTGCTAGAACTCAGCTTTGATATTTGGTTCACAGTTCCTTAGCTAAGTGTCCACATCACCAAGCAAAAGTTGTCCATTATTATAGAGGCAGGGAATGTATAAAATTTGGTGCCTTTGCAAACAAGAGAATTTCTTGTCCTGGGGAGGTGTCCCTCTAAGTCCCAAGAGTGACTTAAGTCAATTTTCTCCCAACAAAATCAATACATAATCAAGGAAAAATGTTGTGACAATTAATAAAATAATCACCTAATGGGAAAAGCTTAGATATAAAGGCAAATTCTCTTAACAAATTGTTCAAGGAAATGTATGGAGATCAGTGTGGAGAATTTATATTTGGATATTAGGGCTTAAAGGGTTAAGGAGAGGTTTGACTGTAGTTTAATAAGTTGTGCTATTTTCTTGTGTGGCAGACGGAGGTAGTACAGCAAGTCCAACAGCAACCAGAAGGTGGTCACAGTCATGTCATGCAAACTGGTTATTCGCCAGCACTGGTAAATGCGGCTGTGTCTTCTGATCCCACTATTAATGCCTTGTTAAGTCTGGGAGCAAAAGACAAGGTTTTGTTGCCTGGAATGCTGCCACCTGGTGTCTCCGTGGCAGCTGTTCCAGTCACCTCTGGAGTAGCTGTTACAACTCAAGGGATTACAGTGGTAATGCCTGGTCAATCATTACAAGGGAATGTGAATGTACCATGGCAGTGATGTGGTACTTTGTACAGTCTAGTTGTATCATGAAGTTCTTTGTCAGTTGCTACATAAGGGCATGGACACACAGCTTTAAACAAAGGGGCTATGTCACGGCTTTATAATGCGAGTCATGCAGCATTCAAAATAATTCCTAGTTTAAAAACAAGCTAAAACACGCTTTAATACCTCCATTGATGTTAAGTTCATGTTTGATTGTGCATATTTATCGGCAAATTTAGCAGGTCGAATTCAGGTCTGCAAATATTCTCCAAATAGCAGATGTCATCCATTGAGTTGTCTTCTTGCTGTTCTTGCCATGTTTTTAGCCAATAGTTCACCTAATTCTTCCTTGTGAAACAAGTGAAATGTTCCGCCATTTTATGGTCACTACCAGAACAACTCAACCTTGTCCCCAGGTCTTCTCAGTTAACGGTTCAATAATCTGGCAATTTTGCTGTACGACTGACATCTTTTTTCACATATCACAAAATTCTTCCAAATTTGGTTGACAATAGCTGGTTGTGATGAATTATGCATGGGATTTTAGCCAATCAGAAGCAGAGAAATATTTTGAATGAATAATAATGCCAGTTATGTGTCTTATTTGCTGCAAAACTTGACAAATTATCTGTGAATTACAAAATCACAGCTCCCGAGCATTATATCAATCATGACAAACAACAAAAATGAACCTTGAAAAACTGTTAGGCTAACAATTTTTCAAAAATGATGATTGCAATCTCTTTCAATCTTCCTCAAGCTATCAGGGCTTCCTTTGGTATTCTCTGTGTTGTTTAAACTTTTTCTAACTTTTTAAGTGTTTTTTTTATGTTTCACTCTGACAATTTGGTTGAATTTTGCTAAATTTTGTGACACAGCTCCTTTAAAAATAAGTATTTTAATTTAAACTGTGATAAAAGCCATACTATCTTTTCTCATATAAAAATCTGTGTACATAGTAATATTGAGGGGATGCGTGGACTAAGGCTACAAATGTGTTTTTTTTTACGTAATGCAAAATTTTTTCCTTTACAAGTGGAATTCACAAGCAGGTACCAAACAAAGATTGGAGAAAAGGAATCTGGTACTCTGTAGTTAATCACAAAGTCACTTGTGGCCTTTTTTTCAGGCACTCTTTCAATAATAATATTATAATATAAAGTGTGGAATATACCACCACAAGTTTTACTTGATTGTTTTAAGGATAATTTGGAATCATTCTGTTTATCGATAGTAGAGTTCCCTTGCATGTGGTTCCTTAGAATATAAAACCATCAAGTTGAAATCTAAAGTTTGTGCTTAACGTAGGCACAGGCCTACCCAAGTTGGTTACACTCGTGTTTGTTTGTAAGATTGTGTGACTAAAATTTAATATTGTCATAGCTATATGAATACTATATGTTCGGTATACATGATTTTGGATAGTTAAATCTTTGTGCATTGAGGCCCCACCAAACAGGGGCACCCAACAACAGTTTCCTCCTAAATAAATTGAAAACACTTTTAAGGCTATCCAGAGTATTCTTGGATCTCAAAAAATGTATTCTAAGCAGCGGTATAAAATTTTTATTTGTTCGGTCATCCTAGAGGAACTTGAGTCCTTTTCAGTATTTTTTCAGTATCATTTTACCGAAAATTTTAGATCCAATTTAACTTATTATGAAAGTGAGAATAGTTTTTTCCAATCGGAAAATTTTATGGTTCTTTTTTGCAACAAAAAACAGCCGAACCTGGGTAGTGAAATGTGAAAAATTAAACCTCAGAAAATCGTAGGGAATTTATTAGATAAGCTGTGAAAATTGTACATGAATGGAATGGTCATCTAGAAATTTTTAGCCATCCTCAAGTAATAGAAAATTCAAGGCAATATTTGGTTCTCTGAACAGATATTTAATTGAAAACAGTCGTTGGGTGCCCCTGACCAAAAGTCTTTCCTAAATAGTATATAATTATCAGAGTGTAGTTCTAGTGTACTTATTTTATCATAACAGTACAATGTAATTTGCAATAGAAATTAGACATTTATTTTTAATGAAATTATGTCATTTGACATTTCTAAGTGGCGACATAGCCTTTTACCTGGTTGATCTATTCTGTACAATTGCGCTTCCCCTTTCTTAGTTTCAGGGATCATGCATATACACCATGGTGATCACTGATGGACAAGTTTTGTTCATTAGATTGAAATGACACTGCAGAGTCATTGTGGTATAGCAGGCAGTGCTTTTGATGTCACTAGGAAAAACTTTTTTACCTCTGTTATCAGGATCTGTTTACTGCATGCCTATTGTCTTGGCAAACTGCCTGCCACACATGTACATGAACATGTGATAAATAAATCAGAGTATTGATTTAGTTGGTAGCACAAAAAATTGCCAGCGAGTAATTGATTTCTGTAGATGACAGATGCAATCTTTAATGAGGGTCTGAATGGGGTTTAGTGTTTAGTGTTATTTGCCCATAATTTTTAGTGTTTGCTGTAAAATTGGCCAATTTTTTAATATTTACTGTTTCCGAAGAAAACACTGTTATTAGTGTTTGGAGGGTTCTTCGGACACCGTCGGCAATGGTCGGATCTCTTCGTTAGTCTTTGTAAATCCGAAATAATCCGGAATAGGCCATTTGTACGATGGCGTCATTTTAGCACTACGACCAGAATACTTTTCGTTTTTCCTTTCATATTTAAATTTGGAAATCCCTGCGAGGTTTTAATAATAAAAGCCCCAATTTGCACAAGAAAGCAAAACCCTGAAGGATTCTGGTCGTAGTAGTAAAACGACGTCATCGTGCAAATGGCCAATTGTCGCAAAATGACCCAAAACTCCTTGATATACTGAACGAAATAATATTGGCCTTTTTGGAGCAGATTTTGCTTCTTTCTGGAAAAAATTTCCTGTTTCAAAGAATTTTTCACTGTTAGTGTTAAAATGCCTAAAATTTAACTGTTTCATGTCACAAAGCCAAACAATGAAGTGTTTAGTGTTATCGAGGTACCCCCCATTCTGACCCTCTAAAACAACTCTTCAATGGAACTTGTGAAAAGATATGTTTACACCTGGTACCTCTGGTCATAATTTATGACTATCAGACCTTGATCTCTCTCTTTTTTGTATTGAATTATTGGTTTGAGACCCGAATTTGAGATTGTCGGTGTATTTCTCGTATTAAAACCACTTAAACATAGCATTGTTAAACGTCTTTTAGTATTTAAACGGTAGATATAGGCATATTTTTATGCCCTAAAAATTTTTCATCTGTTCGGATTCCCTAGCTGAAAGTCTAGTGATCCGAAAATTATAGGGAGCAAAACTTACCTTGTTGAAAATTTCAGCCAGAAAAAAAGGTCCCGAAAATTCTAGGTGATCTTTTAAGGGTAAAAATCCCTTAAAAATGGGCAATTATACCATTGTTTAGATGTTCTAAAATCCTAATAGAGGCAGGCAAGCAAGATATTTTACAACAAATGCTCCGAAAATTCTAGATCTCAAATCGTCTTCCGAACAGATATTGGGGACTGTCAGGACTGTGAACAGTCTACAACGGCGATAGTCTCCTTCGCAGCCGTTATTAGGGTCGTCACTCGTCACGCAAGGAGCGTTGCGTGACGAGTGACGACCCTAATAACGGCTGCGAAGGAGACTACAACGGCGACGGCAGTAACAAAAACTGCCAGTTAAAAAAATGTATTTGCGTTTATTACCTCTCTCAGATGGAGGCGAATTTCCCTTGAGTTAAATTCTTAAGGACCGTAACCAAGTTAAAATTGAAAGAGAAAGGAAAATTCGGTAATTATGAATTCTTCAAGTCCTCCAGCATGGAACATTGCATCAGAGGTGAAGTCGTGCCTTGATCATGAATGCGCGTCAAAGAAATGTACCAATAAGTGTGCTGCACGTGCAGAGCGGTTAAGCTATGTTCACATGCCGGATAGCTTTTCGGTACGGCACCGAACTGGAACAAGTCGTTCACACATATCAAAGATTGTGTAGGAGCGATCGGCCGAGAGGATTTGGTTCTGTAAATTCTAATCCTCATTCCTGAATATTTACTTCCGTCTCAGTGGGTTCCAGTCATCTTTCCTACTTATTCACTTCCGCTATGGTCCGAAAACGTACCACGTTCACTGGTGCACAAAGTCTGATCTGGCACAGGATCTAGATCGGGGCGCGGGGGGGGGGGGGGGGGGGGGCCCGCCAATAAGGGGTTTTTTGGGAATTTGGCGGGGGGGGGGGTGGGTGTCTACAGGAATTTTTTTTGGGGGGGGGTGTAAAAACAGAAAAATTTTGTGGTAATAGTGAGGGATGTTGTTTGGATGTTTATTGCTGTTTT